AGAGGTATTAGCTTCTCTCTTGAAGCTTGCATCAGATAATGTGAAACCGAGTAGGAATGAATTCACAAATGCTAGTCCTTTTCTAGTAGGAAATCCACAGTATTGGCCTTACTTTAGGAACTGCATAGGTGCTTTAGATGGAACTCATATTCCTGTTCGTCCACCTGTTGGAAATGTTGAGCCCTTTAGAGGTAGAAAATCTGAAGCAACCATGAATGTGCTGGCTATTTGTAATTTTGACATGAGATTCATTTACGCTTATGTTGGAGTTCCCGGGAGAGCACATGACACGAAGGTTTTAACATACTGTGCTACCGAGCAAGCTTCTTTTCCTCACCCACCAGCTGGAAAGTACTACTTGGTCGACTCAGGTTACCCAACCAGGACTGGTTACTTAGGTCCTCATCGTAAAACTAGATACCATATAGATCAGTTCAACAGAGGAGGTCCACCATCAAACACTAGGGAATTGTTCAACCGCAAGCACTCCGGTCTAAGATCAATTATTGAGAGGACTTTTGGTGTGTGGAAAGCCAAGTGGAGAGTTTTAGATAGAAAACATCCGAAGTATGCGTTGAGGAAATGGATAAAGATTGTAACAGCAACAATGGCCCTCCACAACTTTATTCGAGATTCTCAATGGGAAGATAGAGATTTTTACATTGGGATGGAGTGGAATCATATGAGCAACATGGTTATGACCAAGAACAAGAGCATGTTCAATACGTTCCAGCGGGTGATAGAGTGATGGAGAGTATACGCCACTGTATTACTATGGAGATGGGAAGAGGAACTCGGCTTCCTTACTAGCATCATACAGGTATGAGTCTTGGTCATTCTCTGAGTTGAAATATTGATGGGTTAGCTTGGTTTTGAGAATGTCTAGTTGATAGTAAATGTACTGTCTAGCTTGGTTGTGAACGTACTCTCTAGCTTGGTTTTGATAGTTGATAGTAAATGTACTGATTCAGCATTGTTTGAGGTAGATTGAAGCTTTCTTGCTAGTTTGATAGTACACTTTCAGTGTGGTTTATGTGTAGTTTATGAGTTGTTGCTTGGACTGAAACACTGAGTTTTGGGCTTCCTGTTCTCACGAGCTCTGGTGCCATGTAGCCGAATGTTCCATCCACTCTAGAGGTCTTAGCTTCATCTCCACGTTCATGTAGCCTAGCCAATCCGAAATCTCTAAGACTTGCATTCATTTTATCGTCTAGTAAGATAGAGTTCCTCTATGGCAAACCAAATAGAGTTCCTCTATGGCAGATTTCACTTTACTATGGGCACATTTCTTATAATCTCTCTCTATGGCAGGTTACTTGTGGAGCATTGAGAAGGTTACTTGTGGAGCAAGAAAAACATGAGTCTATACTTTGAGTTTTATGTGTGGAGCATTTAAATTTTATGTGTTTCTAATTTGAATTGTTTGAAGTTTATTTCAAATTTGAGTATGTACTTTGAGTTGTTGGGAAGTTATTCAAATTTGAGTTTTAACTTTGAGTTTTATTAGAAGTTATAAATTTTAATACAATTTAAATAAATGAATGAATATATGATTTTTTTATAAATTAATCTGAAATAAAATTTTATAAATGTCAAAATGATAATTTTAAAATAAATTTAGTGTAAATATATTTTATACTAATTAATATTAATTAGTATAGCTAAACTTAATAGCAAACATTTAATTAAATTAAAATAANTTATTAGAAGTTATAAATTTTAATACAATTTAAATAAATGAATGAATATATGATTTTTTTATAAATTAATCTGAAATAAAATTTTATAAATGTCAAAATGATAATTTTAAAATAAATTTAGTGTAAATATATTTTATACTAATTAATATTAATTAGTATAGCTAAACTTAATAGCAAACATTTAATTAAATTAAAATAAAGGTATATTTGTAATTTGTTTATCAAATTCATTTGAATGAAGATAAAAAAAAGAAACAAACATGAGATTCATTCAAATGGTTCATTCAAATGATTCATCTAAATGGAAAAACGAACAACCCAAAAAAACTGAATGAATCATTTGAATGAATCACATAAATGGATCATTTGAATGGATATTACAAATGGAGAAACGAACAGGCCCTAAGTGAGTACACCTGCTTACCCTTATCTAAAGAGGCATAATAGCACATACTAAAAAAATAATGAATCCAAATTTAGAGTTGTCTAAAAGCAAGCTTATGCATAGTATCCTCTTCTTAAAGTTTGCACGCTTAAGCATCGTTTATGAATAAAAATCATATTTCTGTATTTGGAAATTTACTATAAGTTTAATACAATTTTTCAAATCTATGTTTAAAACGATAACTATTTTCATAAATATCTTAAATTTATAATAAAAACTTAAATTAACTTTCATAAATCAGTTTATAAATGTATAAAAATAATTTATAAATATTTATAGAAATATATAAATATAACCTCAGTCATAAATACCAAACACTAAACAAGAATCATTAAATTCTAAATCCAAATGTTAAAAAAAAATTGATCAAATATATTTTTGAAATGTATAAGGTGGTGGTTATTTAGGTAATTTCTCTTCCATCTTTTCACATGACTTCTTTAATGAAACTACCCTGATCTCACATAGAGTGAGAGAAGCCTATCGGTGAACATCGGCGTATAGCTTGAGAGTATTTTTGTCATCGCCGGTGAGAGCTAAACCGATTATGCGGCGGTTAAGATTAACCAAAGTAGCTAGTTGAGGGTTCGTCTATGGCTTACAAACTCTCTCTTAAGCAAAGAAAGGTCAAGACTTTATAAGCAGAGACGAGGAAAGGAGAAGACTTTAAGAGACCCAAACGACACCGTTTAGAGTGAGAGAAACAGAGAAATGCGTAGATTCTCAACTATACTCGATCTTTGCCTCAGCAAACGCCGTCTTCTCTTACCATCTTCTCATGCAAATTCTCGAATTGATCTAATCTCCAAAAGGTTTCACATTTCCAGAGTTCTCAGACATGACTCCATGGAGCCAACGGAGAGAATCAATGGGTCTGCGTTTGTTTCTCCAAAGAATAACCAATACGAGGATGAACTCCCCGGTGACGTGGAGAAAATCTACAAAATATTACGAAACTACCATTCTAGGGTTCCGAAGTTGGAGCTTGCTCTCAACGAATCAAACATCGATCTTCAACCCAAACTAATCGTCCAAGTACTGAACCGTTGCGGCGACGCTGGGAATCTAGGTTACAGATTCTTCCTCTGGGCATCGAAGCAACCTAACTATCACCACAGCTACGAAGTCTGCAAATCGATGGTGAAGATTCTCAGTAAAATGCGTCAATTCGGAGCTGTCTGGGCCTTACTCGACGAGATGAAGAACGAGAATCCGTCCTTGATCGATCCAGAGCTTTTCGTTGTGTTGATGCGGAGGTTCGCTTCTGCTAACATGGCGAAGAAAGCAGTCGAGGTGCTCGACGAAATGCCTAAGTACGGGATTCACCCTGATGAGTTTGTTTTCGGAAGTTTGTTAGATGCGTTATGTAAGAACGGTAGTGTTAAGGAAGGTTCGAAGCTTTTGGAGGATATGAGAGAGAGGTTTCCTCCGAATTTACGGTTATTCACTTCGTTGTTGTATGGTTGGTGTAGGGAAGGGAAGTTGATTGAAGCTAAAAATGTTTTGGTTCAGATGAAGGAAGCAGGGATTGAGCCTGACGTTGTTGTGTTCACTAACTTGCTTAGTGGTTATGCTCACGCTGGTAAAATGGCTGATGCGTATGATCTTATGAAGGATATGAGGAAGAGAGGGTTGGAGTTGAATGCGAACTGTTACACGGTTTTGATACAGGCGTTGTGTAAGATGGAGAAGAGGATGGATGAGGCGATGAGGGTTTTTGTTGAGATGGAGAGGTATGGATGTGAGGCGGATATTGTGACTTACACCGCGTTGATTAGTGGGTTTTGTAAGTGGGGGATGATTGATAAGGGTTATAGTGTTTTAGATGAGATGAGGAAGAAAGGAATTGTGCCGTCTCAGGTGACGTATATGCAGATAATGGTGGCTCATGAGAAGAAGGAACAGTTTGAGGAGTGTTTGGAGTTGATTGAGAAGATGAAGGAGAGAGGTTGTCATCCAGATCTTTTGATTTACAATGTGGTGATTAGATTGGCGTGTAAGTTGGGAGAAGTGAAAGAAGCGGTTAGGTTATGGAATGAAATGGAAGCTACTAATGGTTTAAGCCCTGGAGCTGATACCTTTGTTATTATGATCAATGGATTTACAAGCCAAGGTTATCTAGTTGAAGCATGCGATCACTTTAAAGAAATGGTAAGCCGGGGGATATTCTCTGCGCCGCAATATGGAACGTTGAAGACGTTACTGAACACTCTTGTTAGAGATGATAAGGTGGAAATGGCGAAAGATGTTTGGAGTTGCATATCGAACAAAAGCTCTACTTGTGAGCTGAATGTAGCAGCTTGGACAATATGGATCCATGCTTTGTTGGCGAGAGGTCACGTGAAGGAGGCGTGTTCGTATTGTTTGGAAATGATGGAGATGGACTTGATGCCGCAGCCTGATACTTATGTGAAGCTCATGAAAGGGTTGAATAAACTGTACAATAGGACGATTGCGGCAGAGATAACAGAGAAGGTTATGAAGATGGCAAGTGAGAGGAATATGAGTTTTAAGATGTATAAGAGGAAAGGTGAGGAGGATTTGATAGAGAAAGCTAAACCTAAAGGGAGTAAAGAAGGGAGGAAGAAAGGAACAGGTGATCGTAATACTAATAAACATAAGTGGGGAGGTGAACAAAGTAGAGCTAGAATATTTTGACATTATTATTACCTCAAGTTTTCAAACGCTGTTCACGTTTTTGCTCTGTTTCATTACATTACCTTTTGATTTTCTTCTTGTTTTGGTCTCTTTGCTAAGATATAAAGTTACAGGTCTCTTTCTCCATGAATCTGAGACAACAGTGTTTTAGTTTCTCAAGATGGTAGAGGGCTTGATTCCAGGAGTGGTGCTGGGATTTCGACTGAACCGAACCAATTTTATGGTTATGAGCTTGGTAGATTGAAAAATGTTTAGTTTGATTCGGTTAGTTTAGGTTTTCTATTTTCCTAAAAGCTTATACCAAATCACCAGTTAAACCAAAATTTCAAATTAAGCTTACCAAAAATTTGAACCACTAACAAATCAATCAAATGCTGAATAACCTGAACAAACTAAACGTTCTAACAGAACACGCATGCTGGGTAGGAAGTATATATACTAACTGAGATGAATAATTCATAGCCAAACCGAAGTAAGTGTATTCCCGGTCCGGTAGGTTTTTTACCAAACCACTTGCAATTATGTAGAACGCGTAAACCGGAATTTTTGGTTTTAAATGGATCAAAAAAACCGAAAAGACAAAATATATCCGGCCAACGAGAAGAGAAGCACTGTTCCGTTCCGGCGACGATCAGATTTGATAGTTCTGAAACAATACAAAACACAGTAAGGTCTGTTTTGAAATCGTTAAGCGAGTAAAATATCAAAAGATTCAAATCTCCGTTTGCTTATTCTCTCTCTGATACCGCAAACCTTCTTCAATTGACGTAGGAGTATCTTCGTTCCCAACGTCTCTTGATGTTGAGGACACTGTCTCTAGCTCGGGACCGACTTCGGTCCAAAGCGCAACCATCGTCGTCTCCTTTAACCTTTCGTGTCCTCTCTTCTCCATTTTCTTCGAAGCGTCATGCGCCCAAGGCTCCCGAAGAAGAAGCAACGGCTTCAAAAGAATCAGTTTTGCTGTACCCGAAAGATCCGTCGAGCACACCTAAGCTCTTCCTTGTCCAGCCTCGTCTAACCCCTCCTAAGTTCCTTCAGGCCAAGCTTAACGAAGCGCTCTGCCTGGCTAACTCGCTTGAGGAACAGAGATATGGCTACTTCGAATCTGATTTCTTCGACAAGGAGTTGCCTTCTCATGTTGTTGTCCAAAACCCTGTTGCTAGATCGTCTAAACCTCGCGTAGGTCAGTAGTCTTTAGATGTATCAAGAATAATGCCTTCCAAGTGTTCGACGATTTTCCTGATGAGTAAAGTGGTTTTCTGTTTTTAGATACTTATTTCGGGTCTGGGACTGTTGACAACATCAAATGTCATCTTAATGCTGAAGATTCCAAGGCAAGCAAGCTCATTATCAATCTCTGTTTTCTTGATTAATGTAATGACATGTTGTTACAATCTCTTGATACTCAGGAAGAAGTTGATGCTGTTTTCGTCAACGCCATCTTGTCAGCAATTCAACAACGGAACTTGGAGGTAACCCCACAAGACCTGGAGTTTTTCTTTGTTTGTTTCCCTTTCTGTTCAAACTAATTGTTGTGTCTTTGCATTTGATTCTTCAGAGAATATGGGAGAGACCAGTACTAGATCGTGTAGGACTTATAATCGAAATATTCAATGCTCATGCGCATACCAAGGAAGCAAAACTCCAGGTACTGTCACAATAAAATTCCTCCTTTCTGTTTACCAGGAAAGCTTGATTGATATCTGTTTGGTTCATCCATTCACAGGCTGAGTTAGCAGCTCTGATGTACAAAAAGAGCAGGCTGGTTCGGGTGCGTGGCACTGATGGTCGTCAGACTTTTGGGCAGTTTGGAGAAGCTGAAGTTGTTAGTGCCCGAGGGTGAGTGTTCTCAACTTGCTATCTTATGTATTCCCCTATACCTTTTTGATTGTTGGTACGGTGATGAGATTGTTGGTTATAAATCATTTTTTTGCAGGAGAGCGGCAAGTAAGGGTTCTGGTTTCGTCGGTGGTGCAGGAGAAACTGAGCTTCAGCTCCAACGCCGAAGGTTGACCTACGTCATAATTACATTTATAATGTTCATGGCTCTCTTTTCTTACATTTTTGGTCCTCACATAATCTTGATCTACCAGAATAGCAGACCGGAGGCTTCGCTTGCTATCCCAAATTAAAGAAGCCCAAAGAACACGGCTATTGCAACGTGCTGCACGTAAGAGACAAGCTGGTTTAGCGGGTAAAAGTTTAGCCACCATTGCTGTCGTTGGTTACACAAATGCTGTAAGTGTTTGTATTTTTGCCTTGTTCCCCAAGAAGCTCAGCCACAACCTAACTGTTTGTAACCTACTTCCTGATTTGTTTTAGGGAAAATCAACATTGACAAGTGCGTTAACAAGGACTGCTCTCTACTGCAATGAGCGGTATGATACAAATGCTTTCAAACTATCTTTTGAAACGGAAAACTTAGCTTTTGAATGTTTGGCTTTCTGCAGATTGTTTGCCACTTTAGATCCGACACTCAAGAATGCCATCCTTCCTTCTGGGTAAGTTGGTTGATATGCGTCAAGGATCTTGTTTATAACTTTAAGGGTAATATTTGAACTACTATTGAATCTGAATCGTATTAGTTGATTTTATTCAGAAGGAAAGTGCTTTTTAGTGACACTGTTGGATTCATATCGGATCTTCCTATACAGGTAATAGATACATGCTTAAACTCCATCTTCCATTTTGAAGTATTTTAAACTTGTCTTTTCTTGGCTCATGGCTTTTTATAGTTGGTGGAAGCATTTCAATCGACTCTGGAAGAAGTTGTAGAAGCTGATCTACTTCTGGTAAGAACTAAATTAATATTGTCCAGTCTTGAGTTACATTTAGAAGTAGAGAAGTGTAGAAATTTTGGCCTTGATGTATCATTTGTTCCTTGCAGCATGTAGTTGATTCAACGGCTCCAAATATCGAGGAGCATCGGTCAACAGTGTTTCATGTCCTAAATCAAATTGGAGTACCAGAAGAGAAGCTTAAAAACATGATTGAAGTCTGGAATAAAGTACGTCTTTTTTCAAATAACCATATATCATTAGTATAAGGAAGCAACCACCATTTTTCACACATGGAATTTTTGCTAGATTGATTATGAAGTAGAAGAGGGAGAGGAAGACATGCAGTATCTAGATGATGGGAAGATAGAAGAAGAAGCTGAGTTAAGCGACGGTTCAATAGCTGAAGAAACTTTGGAAGCATCTTCTGTAGCAACAGTTGATGAAGCCCAAATCCAAAACCAAGAAGATGACTCTGATGAGTGGCTACTGTCCGAAGATGAAAATGTCAGCGACTCCGAGCTATGGAAAGTTCCGGAAGATACTAAAGTAGATGCTGCGCAGAAGAATGAACCAGATGTGAGAGTTTCTGCATTGACAGGAGTTGGTCTGAAGGAGTTGATGTATCTCATTGATGAAAAATTGAATGGTGAAGATGAGAAGCGTAAATCTGAGACGATAGTTGAAAGGAACGATTTTGAGAGCCGTAAATGGAGACCACCTTCTAATGATGATGAAGAGTTAGCTGCTGAACAATAGTTTTGTCCATCTCCAATTGCTTTCTGTGTTTTTTTGTTACTACAATACAAACTATATAATAAAAAGTTTATAAACATAGATAAAAAAAAACTAAAATTGTTTGTTTTAATCAAAATAAAATGTTGACAAAAAAATCAAATTAAATTTTCTCTATTTTAGCGTTATTTTGTAAAATTATATTTAAAACTAGGCCTCTATATTCCAGAACATATATTTTTGATATGAAAATTTGAATAAATATTTATGACACATTAGAAACACCAAATAAATATACTAGGATAAATATATAACATCGTGAAATCAAATGTTTTTAAATATAAAATTAATAAATATTATAGTTTTTACTGTAACAAAAATGCAGTACTAAAGAAGTGTATGCCGTTTACATTTTGATAAAAACGGCAAGAGGTTTAGATAGAAGATTTGTTAAATGGCCGGCAATTACGACGTCGCTTTCGAGACAGCGCGTCATAGCCATACGCGCTTTGAAGAAGCGAGTATATAAATAAGTAGATAGCGAGATAGCAGTGACAATAACACTTGCGAAGCTTCTTCTCCTCCTTTAGTAAATTGAAGTGAGGTGTTAAAAAAGGCGCATTTTCTCGGATCTGAGATCTTAGATCCCAAACAAACACCATTCTTCATCCTCTTAACATATTGATCCAAAAGGTAAATTCTATGGGGACTCGTTCGTCTCGCGTATATTCTTTTTTTCGTTCTATTGATCTATCGATAATCTGAGTGGTTTCTATTGAAATTCGTTGTTAATGGATAATGAACGTAGCTAATTCTGTGCTGGAATCTGATGGATTTGAAGGTTATTTGTATTTTGCTATCATGGATCTGTTTCGATGTTGATGGTTGTATTGGATCTTGAATTTAGCTTAGACTATTCGATTTCTGTATTTGGTTTGTTATGATATTTAATGTTGAAATCATTTGAGATTGTTCAGTGTTAAAAGGTAAAATCCGATTTAGTGATTTTTCTTTTTGTGTGTGTTGTAGATTGAATAGCTTGAGAGAGCTTTTGGTTGGTAGTAATGGCGAGAAGGCAAGTAGGTTCAACAAGGCGTGTAGGAGATGGTGGAAGCTTCCCTTTTGCTGGAGCTTTGCACTCCAAGTCTCGTTCTTCTCCCCTTTTATCTATTTGCCTTGTTCTTGTGGTATGCTCTTTTTTTTCTTCTTAAATGGATTTACATCTTTTTTGTAATCTAAAAATCAACTCCTGTTCATCGTTTGTTGATTTCCAGGGGGCTTGCCTACTCATAGGTTATGCTTACAGTGGCCCAGGTTTGTATTTGATCATCTTAATGTATAAATAAGTCCTTTTTTTGCTCTATGTACAGCTCAAGTAGTGATTTTTTTTTTCTCATTTTCTCTCGAATATAGGTTTCTTTAAGAGTATCAAAGAAGTCAGCAAAGTTACAGGTAACCCTTGTTCTCCTTTTCAATACCTAGATATTATAAATGCCTTCCTCTGCATTGAGCCATCTTATCGAGTGCATTTGTTATGAACTCGCAGGTGATTATTCTTGCACAGCAGAAGTCCAAAGAGCTGTTTCTGTTCTTAAGAAGGCTTATGGAGATGGGATGCGCAAAGTCTTGCACGTAGGCCCTGAGACATGCTCTGTGGTTACCAGTCTCTTGAAAGAAGATGAGACTGAAGCATGGGGTGTTGAACCCTATGACATTGAGGATGCTGATTCTCACTGCAAGAGTCTTGTCAGCAAAGGCCTTGTACGTGTCGCTGATATCAAGTTCCCTCTGCCTTACCGTGCAAAATCCTTTTCTCTTGTGATCGTCTCAGATGCTCTGGATTATCTCTCGCCCAAGTACCTGAACAAGACCGTTCCTGAACTCGCAAGGGTCGCTTCAGATGGTGTAGTTCTTTTTGCAGGTGATCTAGCTTGAACCTAGAGAATAACTAATGTTTTCATTCGAGTTTGGTCTTTAACTCTTGAACTTTAATAGGTCTCCCTGGTCAGCAGAGAGCTAAAGTTGCTGAACTGTCTAAATTCGGTCGTCCGGTAAGCTTTTATTATACTCTGTTTCTCCTGATGATTATATTAATACCCTTCTCCTTTAGTTAAGAAGTGGTATTAGCATAGTTTATGTAGTTAGCCGTTACTTACTCTTCATGACTCGAAACACTGACGCTTGAAAGTTGCATTCAACACATGCTTTAATGTCAGTTATCATCTATCACAAAGTTATTCAAAACAGTGTCTACAAGTATACAAGGCTGAATGCTGACATTCTTTTCTTTTTCTATTGCAGGCTAAAATGCGTAGCGCATCATGGTGGAACCGGTTCTTCGTCCAGACAAACTTGGAAGAAAACGAAGCACCAAGTAAGAAGTTTGAACAGGCTGTTTCCAAAGGATTATACAAACCAGCCTGCCAAGTCTTCCACCTCAAGCCATTACATTAACCAAGCCACCTCCAAGCCCTCACACTAAAAGCACATTCACACGTAGAGCCACTCGCGAAACAAGAACAACAACAAAAATAGCGTAAGCGATATTCTCCTTGTATTTTGTAACAAGCCAGTTTTTTTTCTTTTTTTTTTGTCCTTTATTGTTGTATCCATCAACACAATTTTTCATATTGAATTTTAATCAATCGTTATTACCAATAATCCCCACATGAACACTTGCCATCTTTAAAGCAATGGAACCTAAGGTTATCCCTTACAGTGATCTCTCTTCCTGTAACCTCAGACATGAATTTGATCGCATTGTGACAATCTCCACATATCCTCAGATTCTTCTTCACAACTATCTCCTCTCCATGTCCTGTCGACATCAACCCGAAAGCCACGGCTAGCTTCTCGCTGTGATGTCCTAACCTCATCTCTTCTTCACCTTCCCCTGCCTCATCCACCTTCACCATTGCCCATCTCTTATCCATCACATACCCAAGCTCCCTCATCTTCTTCATCATCTCCTCTAGGTACTCACACACTTCACGTATCATTGGGTGAGACCAATCTTCCGCCACAAACACATGTTCCTTCTTCTTTACTTCTATCCAACTACACCCTGGCTTCTTCCTTATCCTTCTCGACCTCATTAGTTTCCTCACTGCCGCCATCTCTTCCCATCTCCCTGCATCTGCATACATGTTTGCTAGCATCACATACGGTGTGTCAGCGTTAGGTTTCATCGCCATAAGCTCATTTGCTGCTCTTTCAGCAAGAACTATGTTTTTGTGTTTTCTACAAGCGTTGAGCAAAGCGGCCCACGCAACAGGGCCTGCCTTAAACGGCATTGAGTCTAAGAATCTCTCTGCCTCTTCTAGCTTCCCTGCTCTTCCCAGAAGATCAATCATGCAAGAATAGTGCTCAGCTTCTGGTTCAATCTTGAACCTTTCCTTCATGGTGTTGAAGTATTCTTGACCCTCGGCGACTTTACCAGAGTGCACACAAGCAGAAAGAACGGCTACAAAGGTTATATTGTTAGGCGCAATACCAGAGTCAAGCATCTTTTGGTACAAAAGCAAAGCCTCTGTCACACGCCCGTGCTGTGCATAGCCTTTGATCATACAGTTGTAGGTTACAGCATTAACCTCTGGCATACGATCAAACACTCGCCTAGCGTCTTGCAGGTTACCATTCTCGTAATACATGGAGATCAAAGAGTTGTTCACAGAGATTCGGTTCCAAGGGATGTGTGACTTGATCGCCAAGCCATGAATCTGCTTACCTTGAGAAGTAGAGCATAGATTCGAGCAAGCACTTGTGACACAGACGAAACTGCAGTCGTCAGGTCTATGTCCTATACGTTGCATCTGTCTAAAACTCCTCACAGCTTCTTCAGAGAGTTCTTCGTTCATTGAATACCCTGATATCATCGTGTTCCAGATAACCAAATCCGGAGATAGAATTTCTTGGAACACCTTCTCTGCATCAGACATACCGTTAAGACCTCCACACTTCGAGTAGAAATCGATCAAACCACTTCCTACATGTGAGTTTTGGTGAAATCCAGCTTTGATCAGCTTACAGTGAAACTGACGTCCACCCATCAGATCATTTAAGCTTGTGAGAGCATTCAAAACACTTGCCAATGTATACATATCGATTCTGAACCCTTTCAAGATCATTTCTCTATACAAAGCTAAAGCCTTAGCTCCTTCCTTGTGCTGCCCGTAAGCCACAATCATCGAGTTCCATGAAACTTCATCTCTTAACTCACCCATCCCATAAAACACCGACACAGCCTCTCTCAAAAGCCCTCCTTTACTGTAATACGAAATGAAAGCATTGTTCACAGAGGAGTAAGAATCAAACCCACCCGACACAGCGAAACAGTGAAGCTGCATTATCAACTCGACTCGGTCACAACAAGCTGCTATCAACCCTGATAACGTAAACCCATCAACCTCAAAACTCAGCTCTCTCATCCTCTTGAACAAGACCATCGCAGAGACAGTTTCTCTAGCATCAGCGTAGCCGGAGATTAGGGTGTTGTAAGAAACCGTGTCTGGTTGTGGAATTTCGTCGAACAGCTGCCGTGCAATATGGATTTTGGAATCTTTCGCGTATGCTTTGACGATTACGTTGTAAGAGAAGACATTGGGTTGTTCCGTGGAGTCGAAAGCGGCTCGCGCGCAGGAGAGTCGTCCACATTTGGAGTAGAGGTTGACGAAGTGGTTTGAGAGGTAAGTGGAAGAAGCTACGAGGGATTTCAGGTAGCGAGCGTGTAGGGTTTTCCCTGTGAAGAGATCTCTCTCCGCAACGCATTTCAGTAGAAGGTCTCGAAAAGATTTGAATGTCCATGAAGTCTGGTTCATCTAAATAGTTACGAAGTGAAGCTCAGAGATTGTATGCTCCTCGCATTTGCAGGTTATGTGCTTGTTTGAGGTGAAAATGGTTTGAACAATATAAAGAGAGAGATGAGGGCGAACAAAGACGTTTTATTAGATCTGAACAAGGAGTTACAAAGAAGAAAGTAAGTCGACGGACTAGCCGGAAGTACAAGATGGTGAGTAAACGGGAAGGTGACTAAACAGGGAGGTGACTAAACGAGAGGGTGAGTAAACCCTAGATCTAA